GAAATAAATGTTTAATCATTTTTTGACACAATTTCTGTAAATGACAAATACATGTCTAACTGAATATCAGTAATACTTTAATTTTATTTACAATTTTATTATGAAAAGAGATAAATATCGATATAATAAACAATTGTTTATCCATAACTACAAGTGAAATATTTCACTAAACATTCACTAATGTTTTGTATAATTAATTTTATATGAATTTCCATATTAATTATAAGTTTGTTAATCTTTTTTATATAATAAAATAATAAATTTATTTATTAATAAAATGTTATATTATTTTATATTATTACGAAATTAAACTGATTTTATTTAAATGATAGTTTGAATGCAATTAAATTTACCATAACTTTTTATTAATGAAATACTTGATGGATGTTTACGAAATCATATTTAATAATTTCCTGTAAGTGAAAATTTGTGTAATGAATACATAGTTACATAAATTGGAAATCAAATGTGAAAATAATTATTAATTTAATAAACTGATAAAATCTACAATGAATTAATTTGTTGCACACAACATATGTAAAGTAGATTATATACATTGATTATATATACATACAATGTATTATATACATTTATGGTTAAATTGTATATAAAAGTATACAATTTAACCGTTATGTAAAAGGAGTGATAAACATAACTCAAAGTCCAGATCGATTAAATAGGTATAAAAACTATTAATATCGCAATCTATCGCAAAATGCATTAAATTATCACATTTTGCAAGCGTTTAAAAACATATTTTGTAATTAATTATAAAACTTAAAACTCAATTATAATTGAATGGTAGGCATCGGAATTTAAGGATGACAGAAGTATGCAATGGCCCCTTAGCTCAGTTGGTTAGAGCGCCGTGCTAATAACGCGGAAGTCGTGGGTTCGATCCCCCCAGGGGCCACTTTTTACATTTTTTATTTAACTAGCAACTATTTATTAATATAGCAATTAATTAATTTGTATCAGTTAATAATAATATAATTTCCATATTAAATTAAACAAGCTACATTTTGCATATTAAAGTTCTAAACAATCCGATAGAGCTTTATGCATTCAATTTTGACCATGATTATGCATTCATATTTATGGACAGATCTCTGATAGACTTATGATAATTAAACTAACAATTTATTATCAATAGTCTGGAGGGGTGAGAGGGCGGGGGAGGGGTGCATCACACCCTCTAATCGCTAGTTAATTGACAATCAAGTTATGTTATTATAATTACTAAATTGTAAGTCATATAACTTTACCATATGTTTAAGTAGTAAATATATTGACAAATAATAAGCAGTAATAACGGGAAGAATGTCGGGTAAAAGGGGGAAAAGTCGGTAAAGGGAGTCAATTACCGGCTGTGATAACAATAAGTGCACTAAAAAAGTGTACTTTTTTTAAATTAAAAACTTTTTTCTGTACTTTTCAATGCAATGTCTGTGTTGTGGTTGCATTGAATACATTGAGTACATTGTATAAGAAATGTCTGTAGACTCAAAGAGCGTGTTTTCAATGAATATTGTCAACACATTTTGAGCGCAAACTGTTTGACAGTTTTTGATTGAAAACAGATTTCTCGATACAAAACCAAAAGCAAAACAACAAAAATATCGCCAAAAAGGTTGACACAAATGAATGTAACGATTGTCTCGAAGACACCGCCGAAGACAACCATTGATTTGATGCCAACATTGAGTTGAGAAGTGAGACCGCAATGCAAACCCACAATACTATGGATCAGCTTATATGCGATGGTAAGCGAAGACATACTCTACTTTGTAGTCACACGTGTTTTATTCACTGCTCTGTCTTTGCTGTCCGATTGGATCAGATCTGAAGGCGTTTGAGAGACGACTGATGGAAATCGTGTCACTGGAGAGACCGGCGACCCGACGATGGCGTGTAATCCTCTGCATGTCGTCGCTGTTGACCAGCGCTTCGGCTTTCTATTGGCTCAACGACCCGAAGACGGCTCACATATCGCTCATCGACTCATTGGTCACGCATTACTTGTTTACCATTAATTGTCTCATTT